TCCTCTCCCTCCCCGCTCCCCCTCCCCCTCCCCCTCCTCCCAAAAAAAACTTTCCCAACTCTGGCCATTGCAACTTAGCTAAATCTTTCCCCTTTTCAGAGTACTCAAAGCAAGCAGAAACTTTACATTTTTTTTCACTCCCCTCGTAAGAAAATGAAACTCTTGCCTCTTTTGTAAGCCTTCAAACCAATATCCTCAGCACATTCTAGAAACATACATCAATTATGTGTAGGACGAAAAGGTCCCTTTTTCTGTTGCCCAATAGGCCAATACCACTTCTTGATGTCCTAACTTGTGGGAGACTGCTTGTACTGCACCGGTGGTTATCCAAGTAATTTCAGAAACCTGTGAAAAGGTCACCCTTGTTAATGAACCCCAGGGTTGCAATAAAAATTTACATATAAGTAATAGAAACAGATCAAATTTATTTAGTTCCACTTAGATGGCCTTTTAAGCTGAGTATTTTGCTTAAGAGAGCACCATCAACAATGATAGATTTCGGCTATTGACCTAAAGCACACAACAGTCACTTCTATCCATGCACTTCACTCCTGCCATCACATGTTTATTCATGTATCCGGTTCCCTTCAACTATGCCTCAGAATCTTCTATGATGTATAAATGGATTTGGCTTTACCTATCTCATTAAAAATAGAAATTGATGGTTCTAAACCAGACTTTATCATATAGTTGAGAAGAATCTCGCCCTCATTCAACTTCCCTTCCTTGCAAAGAAGTCTGATGGTCAAACTATAGCTAGCCACATTTGGAACCATTCCATTCTCTCTCATTTCTTTGAGCAGCCTAAGGGCTCTGTAGGAGCTACCCTCGTTGCAGTATCCGTAAATCATCATATTGTAGATTACATCATTTGGCTCCAAATTCATCTCATGCATTGATATAAATAGCTTTGAAGCTTCCTTCATATTTCCTTTACTGCACAAACCATGTATCAATACTCCATAGGTGCAAACATCTGCCAACAAACCCGCCTTCTCCAGGCAAGCATGGACTTCAAATGCTTTTTCCATGTCGTTCGATTGGACAAAGCCATCAATAAGAATTGTATATGTTACTTTTGATGGAGAAATGCCTCTCTCCTCCATTTCCCGAACTAAATCCACAACCCGTCCAGGATGTCCAGCTCTAGAAAACCCCGCAATCAAAACATTAAAAGTTACTAAAGATGGTGATAAACCATAAGACTTCAGCTGATTGAACAAACTTGAAGCCTTGTCCATGTTCCCAGCTTTACAAAACCCTTCTATCAGTGTGTTATAAGTGATTAAATTCGGGTTCAAACCCGTCATCTTCATCTGACCCACCAATTTCTCTGCCTCGAGCACCCTCATCTCTTGACACAATCCTCCAATCAGAGTATTATATGTCACGACATTACATGCCACACCTCTCTCACGCATTTCATCAAACAATTCAAAGGCTCTGCCCACTCTACCATCATTACAATACACATTAATCAAAGAACTGTAAGTAAATATATCAGGCATAACACCATCAAGCTTCATCTTTTCGTACAACTCAAACCCATCTTTTTTAAGTCCGTTTTTGAATAGCCCATCGATCAAAACTGTGTACGTATACTGATTAGCAATTAGACCCAACTCCTCCATCTGACAGAACAATTTCTTTGCTCTTTCAATGTCACCATTCTTACAACACCCGTCTATTAAAGTAGTGTATATAACAACATTAGGACGCCGACCCATTTCCTCCAAATGAGCTAAGACCTCAAAAGCTCTACATAAATCATTATTGTCACAACAACCCTTTATCATAATTCCAAAACTATGCATATCCAATACAGCCCTATTCTTTGTTTCAGTAAAAACTGACCAAGCGTTTTCGAAATAATTGGACTTGATGAGAAAATTAAGAAGATTATTGAAAGTATTTGATGTGGGTGCAAGGCCTTTATCAGTCATTTGATTGAAATAGAAAAGGGTTTGTTCTGGTAATTGAGATTGAACATGAACATTGATAATTGCTTCATATAGAAGAGTAGAATTGAAATGGGTTTGTGTTAAGTGAAGGAGAAGAGATTGGAGTGTGAAGCATGAGGAAGTGATTCGATTAGATACTAATTGTTGGATGAGAGACTGGGCATGTGAGAGCATTTTAGAAGAGAAAAGGTGGTGGATGATGATAGATATGGATTGGGGTGAATGTTGGAGCCCTTGTTGGGTTGAGGAGTTGAAGAGGCAAAGAGCTTTGAGCGGTGGGCTTTTAACCATTTTTGGGATGAGAGTGAGAGCTACCTGGGTGTGTGACATTTTCACTGCTCTTCACTTTTTCTGGCCTTGAAAGTACTACTTCAGAGGGCAAAACTACACATATGACTCAGGCAAACAGCTACAAGACAGGGAAGGCTTGGTCAAATAGTGACATGGATCTGGGTTTGTTTCAACTTTCACGCGAAGACGATGAAGGAAATTAAGAAGATTAGGGTCCTCTTGAGCACATTCACTCGTGTTTACATAGAATTAAATGCTTGGGAGAATTGAAAACAACTCTATCTCAAGATGGAAGATCTTCTGAAACAGTAGCTGCATCTCATCTCATGCCATCCAAGCCCCTGTTTAAGCAGAGCTCCTTCGTAGCAATCCTTGACAAACGAATATTGAAGATTTTCTTCACCCAGACTTATTTACTTGAATTGGAGGGAAGAATTAACCACTATAATTTTGGGGAAGTTATACCCAAAATTTATCACTTAATCACTCAAATCCACTTAATCACACAGATACACATGTAAATATTATACACAAGCTCCTTAGAGTTTATAAATGCGTAATAGTTAGACCCTCACCGTTAATTTTTGTTATTATATCTATTAATAAATTACTTATAGATGTGTAATATTTAAATCTCTCAAGTTTAAAATGTTATACTTAGCCAAAAAATAACTCAAGATAGAATATTAAATATTTTAATTTTTACAACCAAAATTCATGTTCTATTATGACATTTATTGAAATAAAATTAAAATTAAAAATTTAATTTTTCTTAAAAATCATAATTAATATACAAGTATATTATTTATTAGAATAAAACTAAAAAATCAAATAAGGGATTAAACTGTAATTGACGTAGTATCTTCTATATTTAATTGGAGTAATTTGATAGTATAATTTGATAGTTTAAATGATCAAATTAAATTTCAATAGATAATATAATTGTATACTAATTATAATTTTTTTTTAAAAAAATTATATTTTTATTTTTAATTTTATTTCAATAAATGACATAATAGATATAAATTTTGGTTGTAAAATTCATGTTCTATTATGAATGACTTAGACCCATTGTTTGATTTTTTAGTTTTATTCTAATAAATAGTATAATTATATACTAATTAATATTTTTAAGGGAAAAATTGGCTTTTTATTTTTGATTTTATTTCAATAAATGATACAATAGAACATGAATTTTGATTTTAAAATTTAAAATATTTGATGTTCTATCTTCGATTAGAGCATTTTTAATTTAAGTATAACATTTTAAACTTAAGGAATCCAATTATTACACATCTACAAATTTCAGGAGGTCTGTGTATAATTTACTAACAGACATTTGACGGCAGGGGTTTAAGTGTTATGCGCATACAAACTACAAGGGGTTTGTGTATAATATTTTAAATGTCAGAGTCTGAGTGATTAACTGACAAACCTCAGATGGTCTGTGTATAATTGTCCCTAAATTTTTTGTATAATTAATCAATATAATCACTAAAAAAAACACAATAAAACTTCCCAAGAGATGAAAATGAAAATTTAAGCTTTATTTTTACGGTAAATTACACCAAAATTTCCTTAAATTTGTCATTTAATAATATAGACCGACTCACATTTAGAATATTATATTTGAACCCCCTAAAATTTGTACGCATGCACCAATATATTAATAGTGAAATGCATTTAATGAAACAATGTGTTTTATCAGTAAATGTATTTCACTATAAATTTGAGGGGGTCTATGTGATTAAATAATAAATTTTAAGGGTCGGAGTGTAATTTATCTATAAAAAATTGACATGGGGCCCAATAAGAAAAAGGATTGTATTAGAATTGTATTTGTATATTATGATGACATTATGAAATTTTAACCAATATATTAACAGACAATAACAGAAGTGTTACATGCGTACAAATCTTAGGGGTTTATACATAATCTATATTACTTTAAAATGTTAAGGTACATGAAAAACCTTATTTAGACACTTTTGTCCTTCAAAATTTTGAAAATATCAAGATCACCGTTGGAATTAGAATACCAAACACTTGTGACATTCATCATACCTAATGGGTCATTACAAATTTCACAATGAGCATTATTGCATTTGCTTGGTATAGATATATCACTCTTATAGATCTTATAATATCAAAAATATTATATTAATTCTTCATCTTTCAATACTTTCATATTACTATTAATTCTATCATCTGTGAGATATAATAAGTGAAAAGTCATATCAACTTATCTTCCTCCTCTGAAAAATTAGCATAGTCTTCTACTTTTTTTACTATCTATATCTATATGGCTACTAAATCCAAAAATATTTTTTTTTCATCACTATCCACAAACAATTGTATAAAGTCATATTAGTGCTAGATTAAATCCCTAATAAATTACATAATATCAATCATATTTCATTTCCTTATGCAACTCTTAGACTCCTCTCATTCTAGTAATACACATTCAATTGCTCTTACTTAACTCATAGCTCCTTCACATTCTATCCGCATCTAATAACTTTAAATGACACATAACTTCTATAGGTAAGAATTCTTAATAAGGAATATGCAAGTCATCAAGTAAAACTTGAATAATTTCATCTTCCCTTTTTCTGATTGCATCCACCATATATACAATAGAGTCAATTCACCCCATATTATTTCAATATGCGATGAATGTCAATAATTAATGAGAAGATGAATCATCTCATTCTCACTTATTTGACATACTACTATATACAAAACTGAAAACTCTAATTGGTCTATTTGTAACAAGTGCTCTCTTTTGAAACATTTGTGCTCCATTAATACTAGCATAATTCATCTTTTTAAACCCTTGCACTCCATTAATATTAGCTTAATTTATCTGTCAATTCATTTGGTGGTGGATGGAGCATCTCTTTATGTAGTGTGAGAATTGCTCGAGCCTCTTGAAAATTTTAGTGCTAGCATAAAAAATGCTCCCTTTTTAAGCCCTTGTGCTCCATTAGTGCTAGCATAATTTATCTTTTTAAACCCTTGTGTTTCATTAACGTTAGCATAATTTATCTATTGATTCATTTGGTGGCAGATGGATCCTCTCTTCATGTAGTGTGAGAATTGCTCGAGCCTCTTGAAAATTTTCTTTTTGTTATATTACATGCACCCAAGCTCGATTGTAGAGGTAAATGTGGTGTTTCTTAACTTTGTGAACCAGTGTGTTCATTTGCTGAAGAGGAGTTTTGAATTAGTGTCTTCAAATATATTTTATAGAATCGATATCTTCCTTATCATGTGAATTATATAAAATTTGTGTTCAATTTCCATTGTATGTAGTACTGAACTCGCTTTGCACCTTCACATTGCATCCGCCATAGGTAGAAAGCTTTGCACAAGTTTTTTGATAATATTGATGGTTGCAATGAGATCCCTGAATGGCTCATATGGAGGAAGGTTCAGCTTGCTAGATTTTTGTAATTGCTATTAGGGATAAGGTACTGAATTTTAATTTTGATAATAATATGTGCTTTAACATTTGAATAGGGTAAAAAAATCTTAATTTGTTTGTAATATATGTTCTATGGGTAATTTATTCCCAAATGGGGTTTTCAAGAAGTATATATGAGAGTTCTCTTCACGTTTAGTACATTATTTGTCTTTCATTAATTAAATAACAAAACTGCAACTACTATTGTTTTATGTCGTCAGATATGTTGTTTAATGACTTTTGAGGCGATTTGTTCTAGCTTACCATGAAATAAGTGTCCACTTATATGTTATATACTTAAATGATGATTTACATTTATTAGTTGTTGATGTTAATGTTACTTAGTTACATGTTGAATGAGGTTAGTTAATTTTTTGCTGCAATTTTATGTGCATTTGACACAAGTTGAGCTCATTGCTTTATTTGGCTAGCATAATAACGCATGCACCATTCGTTGGATGAGTATTGATACATATTTTTATGTCGTTGGTATATCAAATGAATGATTGTGTTCCACATATATGAGTAGGCTTCCCACTAAACAACAAATTTCAAGCATAGCACCAAGAAAGAAGCTTGGTGTTTCATTCTCAGTTATCGCTTTATAAGGTAGTTGCTATGAATTAACTCGCATAAGGTCAACCCAATTTTTCAAGACAATAACATTTGCCACTTTTTATTTTGCGAGGTTCAAACAAAAAAGCCAAATTTTAGCCCTTAGTTACAGATGTCATTAATAATCTTGGTAATAATATCATCATTTTTGCTACGATGGATCCTTTGACTCTTTCACTAATTCATTTGTTTTTTTTCTCTCTCTCACACACACAAATACATAGAGAAAGGGAATCTACAGTAAATGAAATCTTTTATATTTTTAGTCCTTTGACAAGATTATTTCAATGTTTCTATTTTGCCTCCCTACGACGTTACATGTTTAGATTTTAGATTCAAATTATGAGTTTTAGATAATGAAATAGTTTTATTGTTGTCAAGTATTCTTCCAAATTGATGTGGAAAAGAACATGAAACTGATTGTAGGAATGTTGATGGGCCTTGTTTCTCTTTTACTCACTTCAACATTTGTGTTAATGGTTTGGTTAGGGTGAATCATTTAGGAAGTCCCCAATTCTATAAAAAAAACTTGGAAATCAAATTAAGTTCACCTAAGAGCTCTTTATTTTGTGTATGTGTGTTAATATCATCAGGTCATGACTATCGTTCATAAAGAGTTTTGATATGATACATCATTTCATGGAGTTCGGTCATTCTTCTAAACAATAGGGTTAATTATAAATTGTACCTCGAAAGATCATTCAAATATCAATTTGCACTCTCAAAGATCAAAAATCTCAATTTGTACCCTAAAAGATAGGAATTTGTATCAATGTGCATATGAAACTAACAACAGTCAGTTTGTGTCTAAAATTAAATTGATCAATTACACCTAGATCTCTTCATACTTGTCACTTAATCATTTGAACCCCCTCACATTTAAAATATTACTCATACAGCTCCTGACATTTGTGCACACGTATCACATAACCCCTTATTGTTGATATTTGTTAATATA